GTACGGGGGGACAGATGGACATGGGGAGGGAGGGACAGACAGACAGACATGGGGAGGGGGGACAGATGGACATGGGGAGGGAGGGACATTGGGAGGGTCTCTATTTGGGGGGGCCCCTATTGGGGGATATGGGGTGTCTTGTGGGGGATACGTGGGGCACCCCAATGTAGGGTCTGTCTTGGGAATATTGGGGTGTCCCAGGGGGGCACAGGGCACCCCATTGTAGGATCTCTTTGGGGGATATTGGGGTGTCCCGGGGGGGCACAGGACACCCCATTGTAGGATCTCTTTTGGGGGATATTGGGGTGTCCCAGGGGGGCACAGGACACCCCATTGTAGGATCTCTTTTGGGGGATATTGGGGTGTCCCAGGGGGGCACAGGACACCCCATTGTAGGATCTCTTTTGGGGGATATTGGGGTGTCCCAGTGGGGCACAGGGCACCCCATTGTAGGATCTCTTTTAGGGGACATTGGGGTGTCCCAGGGGAGCACAGGACACCCCATTGTAGGATCTCTTTTGGATGATTTTGGGGTGTCCCGGGGGGGGGCACAGGGCACCCCATTGTAGGATCTCATTTGGGTGATTTGGGGGTGTCCCGGGGGGGCACAGGACACCCCATTGTAGGATCTCTTTTGGGTGATTTGGGGGTGTCCCAAGGGGGCACAGGGCACCCCATTGTAGGATCTCTTTTGGGGGACATTGGCTTGTCCCCTGTGGGCAACCAAACACCCCCAAAAGCGGGCGAGGGGCACCCCCAAAACACCCCCTTTCCCCCCCCTCTCCCCTATTTCTCCCCCCCCGGGGCAGATCCGCTTCATCCTGATCCAGAACCGGGCGGGCAAGACCCGCCTGGCCAAGTGGTACATGCAGTTCGACGATGACGAGAAGCAGAAGCTCATCGAGGAGGTGCACGCCGTGGTCACCGTGCGTGACGCCAAGCACACCAACTTCGTGGAGGTACCGCCCCCCAAAACGCTCCTTTTTCGCCCCAAAATTTTTCCTCCACCCCATCACTTTTTTTTTTTTTTGTTCTCCTGGCTCTGGGAAGGTCCAGGAAGAGCCGCTGGTCCCGTTGTTCCCTGCTGGGGGTGGAGGGTGTGGCTGCTCCCAGTCTCTCCCAGTGCCTCCCAGTCTCTCCCAGTGCCTCCCAGTGCCTCCCAGTTCCCTTTTGGTGTCTCCCATCCCGCCCAAACTTCCCCTTTCTCTTCCTGCCCCCTCCGGGATGATCCACTGGTCCCACTCCCTGTTGGGAGTGGAAGGTGTGGCTGCTCCCAGTCTCTCCCAGTTCCCCCCAGTTCCCTCCCAGTCCCTCCCAGTGCCCTTCTGGTGTCTCCCCTCCCTCAGTTCCGCAACTTCAAGATCATCTACCGGCGCTACGCGGGGCTTTACTTCTGCATCTGCGTGGACGTCACCGACAACAACCTGGCCTACCTGGAGGCCATCCACAACTTCGTGGA